AACAACAGAGGTGATAGTGGGCACCCTTGTCTTGTTCCTTTTCTTATGTCAATAGAGTCTGTCAGTTCTCCCTCTATCATTACCTTTGCCATTTGCTTATAATATATAGCTTCTATTGCTTGAATAATTTTTTTTAGCAAAGCCCATCTGTTCCAGCAGTAATAACATGAATCGCCAATTCACATTATCAAATGCCTTCTGTGCATCTAGAAATATCAAAGCCATTTGTTTTTCAGGATGTGCCTCGTAGTATTCCAGAGTGTCAAAGATTACTCTCATATTGTCTTTAATTTGTCTCTTTGGCAGAAATCCATTTTGATCAAGATCACTTCATGTGATCTTGATTCTATCCCTCTGTTTATGCAGCCTAGAACTGTGTTGGCTTTTTTGGCAACTGCAGCACACTGCTGACTCATATTTAAATGATTGTCCTCTAAGATCCCCCTCACAGTTACTTGAGCAAGGTACCACATATACTGTACCTGTGCATTTTGTTTTTCTTGCCTAAATGTAGAACTTTACTTTTTTCACCATTGAATTTCATTTTGTTAGATAGTACCCAATGTTCAAGTCTCAAGATCTTCTGTATCTTAAGCCTATCTTCTGGAGTGTTGGCTGTTCCTGCTAGCTTGGTGTTGTCTGCAAATCTATCCCCTCATCCAAATAATTGATGAAGATGTTGAAGAGTATTGGGCCTAAAACAGAGCCTTGGGGTACCCCACTGCATACTTAATGTAGATGCAGTTCCATTGAGGATTACACATTGAGTGCGGTTGGTCAGCCAGTTACAAGTCCATTTGGTGGTGATAATGTCTAACCCACATTTTTCTATTTTATCTCATAGTAGCTTATGGTCTTCTTTATCAAATGCCTTACTGAAGTCCAAGTAAATTATATCAACAGCATTCCTCTGGTCCACTACTTTTGTCACTTTGTCAAAGAAAGCAATAAGATTAGTCTGGTATGATCTGTTTTTGACAAACCTATTTTGGTTTTTAGTTATTACTTTGTTTCTAGATGTTTGCTGATTTGTTGCTTGATTATCTTTTCCAGAATCTTTCCTGGTATTGAGGTCAGGCTGATAGATCTGTTGTTTCCTGGGTCTATTTTTTTCCTTTTTTGAAGATGGGAACTACATCAGCTCTTTTCCAGTCCTCTGGAAGTTCCCTGGTGCTTCAGGATCTTTGAAAGATACAGTTCAGTGGTTCTGAGATCTCGTCTGTCAGTTCCTTCAGAACCTTGGGGTGCAATCCATCTGGTCTTGGTGATTTGAACTCATCTAGGGTAGACAGGTGCTCACTTACATTTTTCCACCCTATTTTAACTTGTGTTCCTAATCTGTTTTTTGTGGTATATATGTATTCTTTTTTTATATGTATTCTAATTAATAATTGCATATATCTATTTTTTTTTAAAGATCATAAAGATTTAGGTGTTCTATTGTTGTTTACTTAAATCACTTCCAAATGACTTATATATACTGATAAAAAGTGTAAGCATTATATGAGTTTCCTAAGTATAAGGTATGTTTTCAGTTCCAATGTTTGCTATATCACCTCCAATATTGCAGTGTAAATGTGAGATTGTCATATTATATGAATTAATAGTGTGTCATTAGTTAAATCCAGAAAAGTATATGACACAATAAAAATCTTTTTTGTCAAGTGAGTCTGGGAAGCTCATAACAAAATTAGAGTAGAGATGTTTCCAATCTTCTTTTATGAATCATTACAGCTATTTGAAACTTATATGTCATGGGTTCTTATTTTTGAACTTATATTGAAAGTGAAATAACAATAAACTAATAACACTTATTTGATTAAGCAGTGTTTGCTTGCTTAAATATGAATTTTAACTTTTATTTTTGTTGAGTACAGATTCTTGGCTCTATTAATATGCAAATGTTGGACATTTGCCTATTTGACAGTTATTTTTAACTGTTTAAAGCATTGAAATTGCTATGTGTAACACAGATTTTTCAGTGACTTAATTAATGCTTAAGCCATTCTTATCTCATATACTTCATTGCAAGGTGTTTGGGGAGATAGCAAAAATAATTTGCAAAACTGAAATGCTGAGCAAAAGTAGTGATTGCTTGATAATATTTTCAGCTTCTAAAGGAACAGCAGGTATTTTTAAAAAATCCCTTTAATACAAATTGTTGTACAAAGTAGCTAAAACTTTCATACTAAAACTTCCAAAACTTAATATTTGGCTGCAGGAGGAATTATTGAATGCACGTCTTATTCACAGAGTTGTAGGAATTGGGAAAACACAGTCTCTACTATGACGATCCTCTTTTGAACATAACTGCTGAAAACTGAAAGTCAAGTTTTCAGTATTTTATAGTAGAGAGATACACAAATATTATAGTGTAACCAAGAAAAAAATATTTGTAACACATTTTTTTAAAAAAGTAAAATAACTCCCTCTAAAATCTTACCCCAGTCACACATAGGTCCATCTATTCTGTCTTTAGTGCCTTTTAAAATATCAAATGGAGTTCTTAATATTTCAAATGTTATACATATATACAACATATATACAGTACATCCATTCTAATCAAATAGGATCCCTAGCATTGAAAAATATATTTTTTAAAATCAAGGTTTTTTTTATTTCAATCTACACATACATGACAATACATTAACAGTGTGGCATCAATATATCATACATTTTAGTATAGGCCAACTTAATACCAATCATATCTCTTAGTACACATATTCACATTAAATCATAATCCTTCATTGCTTATTTTAAACATTTCAATATTCTCTCCTAATGTCAGAGATCATATCAGTTACACATACCTAGAAATTTCATTATTCAATTTCTTCCCCATTTTTTTTTTTTTAATAAAAAATTCTCATTTGGCAAGCAGTATGGTTCCTGGTTTCACATCTCAATACAAACATGAACATGGTTACCTATTCATTTTATTTATTCAATTTCATATCACATTATCCTTATTCATATTAAATATTAAACTTGTCCAATTCCAATTCATGTTATAGCTTATTTCATTTTCCTTAGGATATTCTGATATCTTATTTTACAGTATCTAAAATTATCATCTCATTTCTATGTTCATTTCCCATGTTACCTTTTTCTGTCACATTTGCAATTTTACCATCCTTATTTTATTAATTCAAAATTGTCCCCTCTGGTCAATAATTCAAGCTAGCCACCTTCATTCTACCTTAATGCCAGTCTCCCTATTTACTATATAACACAAATATAGTAAATATATTTGTCAGATTCTGCATTACATTTTCTTAATCACCTTATAAATCGTCTATACATTACATAAGTATTAATCTAATCAATTATAGCAACTGATATTAATTTTTCCATAATAGTTATTTAAACATTTCCCTCTTTTCTTATACATCGTTAATCATCAATTAATATGTAATATTCTTATTATAAATTCCCAATTCCATTTTTAATATTCTAATGTCACTTTCCTGGGTTTTTAATGGAGTTTCTTTTACTCTCTTTTAAGTTCCAAAGTCCAATTTCATATAAAGACCAAGCACTTTTCCTGTGCCATCAAATTTTTCCTGTGCCATCAAATGGCGCTCTTAAGTCTTTTCCATAATCCACTTCCTTAACTTTAACTTTCTTTGTTAAATATAGTACTTTCATAAAGTTCAATAATTTCAATCATTAGCTATTATTTCTTTTCTTTTCAACACACTCAATTTCAGCATTTAGTTATGCCCTTTAAGTGCCAATAATCCAATAGTTGTCCAGTTTAATTTCTAAACCTTTGTTTTGTTCAAATATTTTCCTTTAAATTTTCTCCTCCAAGTTAATCCAACACAATAATTCAGGCCAATTTTATAAAATATAATTTCCTTCTCACTTTCTCTGGTCGCTGCTTCCACACACTTTCCTCCAATATAGTCCTTTATTTTTTAATACCAGGCTACCTCAAAATCCATGTATTTTGCCTGGTTCACACTCCACTTGCTCCTTCTCCACTCCAGCACAGTCTTAGTTTCCTGGGCTGTTCTTCGTCTTCGTGGTGGCCATTTTAGGACCACTGCTACAGCTTGCCTTTGGAAAGGGTTTTTCCTGTCAGAGAGGGGAGTTGCAGCTTCACTCAACCCTCCAGGCGATTGCCCCTTTCTTCACCACCCCTCCAGAGTGGTTATGGTCTCAATTGGGACCTCCAGCAAGTTATCTGGAAGTGAAATTGCGCACGATTGCAGATTCCGCTCTGACTCTGATAACAAGCAAACCAGAAGCTTGAATTGAAAAATATTTGATGATGTCTTACTTAAGTGTATTTTTTTTAATAGTTCAGGAGTCTTTGCTTAACAATCTTAAGTGAAATTGGAATTTCCAGCACTAAACAAAACAGTTGTTAGGTGAGATACCATGTGACTTAGTGTCAGCAATTCTAGTAGTCCCAGTTTTGGTCATTAGCCAAATGGCAACTTCAAATCTCAACAAATAAATGCTCTGTCTTACATATTGGCAAAAAAAATCAGAAAATAAAATACAAGCTGAATAGTCAAGATCTTGTTGATGACCCATGCTCTGTAAAGGACCTTGGAATACTCACCTCTAATGATCTAAGTGCTAGAGCCCACTGCAACTACATAGCCAAAAAGGCATTATGAGTTGTTAACCTAATCCTACGTAGCTTTTTCTCTGGTAATATCACACTACTAACCAGAGCATACAAAACATTTGCTAGACCAATACTTGAATACAGTTCATCAGTCTGGAACCCACATTATGTATCTGATATTAGCACAATTGAGAAAGTCCAGAAATATTTCACAAGAAGAGTTCTCCACTCCTCTACTCGTTGTAGAATACCTTATGCCACCAGACTTGAAATTCTAGAACTAGAAAACCTTGAATTACGCCGTCTTCGGTCTGACTTAAGCATGGTATATAAAATCATACATTGCAATGTCCTACCTGTCAATGAATACTTCAGCTTCAACCATAACAACACAAGAGCACACAATAGATACAAACTCAAAGTAAACCGCACCAAACTTGATTGCAGGAAATACGACTTCAGCAGTAGAGTGGTCAATGTCTGGAATACTCTACCCGACTCTGTAGTTTCTTCCCCAAACCCCAAAAACTTTAACCTTAGACTGTCTACTATTGACCTCACCCCTTTCCTAAGAGGCCTGTAGGGGGCGTGCATAAGCGCACCAACGTGCCTACCGTCCCTGTCCTATTGTTTCTCTTATTCTTTTATTTTTCTTATATGTACCCATTTCATGTATTCACAACTATGTATACATTTATACTTATTATCTTGTAAACAATTGGCAAATCAAATAAATAAAATAAATAAATAAATTAGGTGAAGACCTCATTCTTCTGCCTGTGGAGATTAACAGTCATCTGGGTCATGGTTGTCCCAAAGCTGCTTTTTCAAAAGGCAATTGGACTTTATTTTTTTTGACAGATGAAAAGCGAAATATCTTCAAGGAAAAACAAAGTCCAGTTTCCTCACTCTTCTGGTCGGCAAAAACTGTCCGCTCTGTCTTTCAGCAAATAAGCATCCCACTCAACTCCCCCATCTCTCTATAACATCTCCACTGCTGCTACGTATCCTTGCTGCCATCACTGCAGCAGTTGCCTCAAGCATGTTTGCCTCATTGGCCATCAGTGAAGTTCAGCTGGCTACAGTAGGGGTAGGCAGCAATGACAGAGTGCAAGGTAGCCATACACAGAGATTGTTGGAAAGATCAGCAATCATTGCTGTCATAAATGCAGATGGGCTGCCAAGGACTCATTTCTTGATCACATGACTACTGGGATGCTTTACCTATCATTTGTTCAGCACCATCATACAGTTAATGGTAGTTAAAGTAGCAGGTTTTGAAATTATGTTTATGTCTCTTCCTCTTTCTCATTACCTATTTTGCTGACAATAGAAAATCTCTCCTACCTTGGTGAGTAGGATTTTGTTAGGATACAACTAGTTACATCTCCATTCATCTTGCTTAGATCAAGTGCATTTCTTCAGGAGAAGTCCCTCTTTGTTGTAATGAAATCTCCTTCTCAAAATTTAATTACAATTGAAGTTCAGTTGATCACTTTGTGCTAGTTTAAAATATTAGAAAAATGAGAGTAACAATTGTATAGTTTCTGGCTAATATGTATTTAAAGCAGAGAAAGTTTTTAAAAAAATCAGTGGTAACTTAAAAAATAAAGATATCCCTGAATGGAATTGCACTGGCTAATTTTATGCATGGCTCATTAAGTTGATCACTGCTATCGAGAGTGCATGTGCACATATAATATTTGAAAAGAAAAGCTATTTTTGTCTCAGTGATGTAACTGTTTGCTAAATGTCCATACTTTTGCCTGTTTGCAAGTATATAATAGTATTACCCTCCGAGCTCTTGGATAAAGCTTTATGTAGTTTCAGAGCATGACCGTTGAATATAAGACCTATTCTTCCACTTCTGTATAGTAATAGGCATCGATCTCTATTTGTGAAGCATGGTATTTACCTTTTTTTTTACTGTAGCCTCAAGGGTTATTTGAACTCAAATGATGTCTGCTTTTGAGTTGGATAGGCTCCAGGCTGTTTCCTAGATGCCATTTGTGGATTTGCAGTATCTTAAGAACATGCCACTAAGATTCAATGGCAAAAATCTTTTATCATACAGCAATGTGATTTGAAGCTGTTTTCATTTCTAGAGTAGTGTACGAATGAGAATAGCTGTAAGTTTGCCCCCCAGAACCCAAACTTGGGCTTTTTTTTTACCGGTGATGTTCAGGATTTTATTTTTGCAGCCTCCAACCCTTTTCTCCCTGAACATGGGGAAAATCTTTGGCAGGCTGAGGAATGGAGCTGAAATCCTGAAGATACCTTCACTTGCAACATTCCCTGCTGGTTTCCCCATTGACTTTCTAGGAAAGATGGCAGAGAAGATTATAATTGGTGATCAGAGGATCATGGGTGCTTGGCAACTGGTTGCAAGTGTTAACGATTTGCCAAATACCCAAATTGTGGTCATGTGACCATGGGTGTGAAAAAGCATTCTTTTCCAAACTGTTCATTTGAGTGATCATTAAGTAACCAATCATTAAGCAAGGACTAAGTCCTGGATTCAATTTTTTCCCAGCATTTCTCATTATCATGCTTAATGAAGCTACAGGGAACTATACTTCAGAACATTTGAAGGAAGAGAGATGTGTCCCTCATCATTGTGCTACATATGTGGGATTCTAAGGACATTTCCAATGCAGTGAAGAACATAAAATGCCTTTTATTTTGTTAGCTTGTCAGATGACAGGTTTCTCTGTTCCCCCTATTTATTTATTTGCATTTATTTATTTATTTATTATTATATTATTTGCATTTCTGCTAACAATTTTACATTTTTTATTTTAATTTGCTTACAAGCTATAAGCAGTCATATTCTAATTATACATTATTTTCCTTATTTGTAAACTAGTTAAAAACAGATGCATATTTTTTTTAAAAAAATGGCTTTTTTGGCAGAGTTCTGGAGCTTTGACTGGTGTGCCAATTTCTGGGGTGAGTTTCCTAAATAAAGCTAAGATATTTTAATATAATTTTTGCCAAGTATTAGAGTCGTCAACTATATCTATTTGATATAACTTGTTTTATTAAAAGTAAATTTAATAAAAAAATAAAAAATAACATGTGCATCCCTAGAGCATGACAAAAAGTATAGTAATTATTTTTGTTACATTTCCAGGTATAGGTCTGGAACACATGAATTCATAAAAAATGGCCATTTATATATATATATATATATATATATATATATATATATATATATATATATATATAT